TCTCCATTTGGATATTCTCCAGATATCTATCAGTATATCCAGTTTGTTCCCTTATCTTCTTCCCCATTTCCTTTACAATGTAGCATAGTCTAATAGTCACATTAGCACAGAAACTAGAGTTAGGCTCTCTGGGTTTGAGTCCTAGATCTGTCAGTAACTTTGTGACTCTGAGAAAATTATATGATCTTTCTGTATCTCAGCTTCCTCATCTGTGAAGTGAGAATAACAAGAGCACATACCTGAGGATCAAATAAGAATGATGGCTGGCACACGATAAACACTATATAAATAACAGCTATAACTGGATCTTCCTGTATTGCCTGTTCTGGTTAATGGTACCACTACTCAGCCAGCTAACCAATCCAGAACTGTGAGATTTATCCTAACTCCTCCATATCACTTCATTCCGCATCAGAATGATAATTTTGTCCCATCAGTTGTCCACTCTCTGGTGTCTTCTCTCCATCTCTGCCATTACTATTCTGAACTTAATCTTTATTACCTTTTTTCTTCAATGACCCAGACTGGCTAGTGACTAGTCTCCCTGTCTTTTGTCTTTATCTTTTTTTCAACATTCTCTATACAGTCCCCCAGTGATTTTTCTGAAATGTAGATCTTATCACTTAAAACACTTTAGTGCCTTTCTGTTCTTATAGGAAGAAAAAAAAAATACAGGTGAAGGCTTCTGAGGTCTGGTCCTGCCTTTTTCTTCAGACTCTTTTCCACCCCATTCTGACCTTTCTTTAATATTTACAGTTCCTCCATATTCTGTATTACTTTGGTCTTCCATGTCTTTGTACATCCTGATCCCTTTTGGAGGACCTTCTACCTCATGTCTCTCTGAAATAGTTTCTGGCTATTTCTCCAAGCAGAAAGTGTATTCCCTGACCTATGTCAATATTTCACCTTGTATGGAGCTTAACCATATGCCAGTCACGCTTGTCATTTGCATGCCATTCTCTTCTAAGACTAAGCTTATTTTTGAATGAATCATTTATATGAATTAACTTCTTGGAGAGTATAAGTTATGCCTCTTGTCTTTAGTCAAGGGCAGAGGTTAAACATTTATTTACTGAACAGATCATCTTGTTACTGATCATTTACATCTATCTTAAAAAACATCTCTGTATTTGCTTTATTTGTTGCTAAGGGAAAAATTTCTTTTAGCTTCGTTGATATAGCAAGTATGCTTTCCTTTTTTTTAGGTTTCCAAAGGCCAGTCATTTCCTAGTGGACCAGTAATAATATTTCTTGTTACCGAAGTTTCTGGAAGAGCCAGTAAGAAATATTATCAAGATGGTTCTTCGACCATAGTGTGGGAATTATTCTCTACTTTTTGGCAGGAGTCAGGAAACCATGAAAGAGCATTGACTTATTGCCTGAAGACCAGCTGTTAAGACTGTGCAGATTAATGCTTTATTGAGGTGGGTCCAGAGAGAAGAAAAGCATTTGAGTTGTAGCTGCTATGTGTCATTGAGAGGGAAGTACTCCTCCTGCCTTAAAATCCAACCATGAATACATAAATAAGACACTCAGGCAGTAGAATGGAGTTAATTAGATGATGCTGAGTCTTCAGATTACTCTTCTTATTTTTTACCTTGAAGGTTCATGCAAATGAGAAAAAATGGAGAAAAATGGCATGCAAATTTTATATTTTTAGATGCATGACCATAAACAGAAATATGTAGTTTATCCACAGTAATACTAAAGGCATAGTCATTTTTTTCTGCATTAATTTAGCAAAGTAATTTTCCCATAAGATGTACATATGGGAGAACCAACCACCTATTGCATAGAAAAGAATAAAATTCAAATGGATGGTTGCATACAATGGCTAATGAATTATTCATGATTATTTGTATCAGGGCCTTGACTCCCTGTTGGAGGCAGATATAAGGAAATGAGCTTTCCAAACCAGTGCTGCTGGTCAACACCAAGGGGTTCAGGTGGGGTCTGTGGCTCCTCATCTTTAAAATTTTTTTTTTTTTTTTAAAGATTTTATTTATTTGTGAGAGAGAAAATGAGAGACAAAGAGCATGAGAGGGGGGAGGGTCAGAGGGAGAAGCAGACTCCCTGCTGAGCAGGGAGCCTGATGCGGGACTCGATCCCAGGACTCCAGGATCATGACCTGAGCCGAAGGCAGTCGCTTAACCAACTGAGCCACCCAGGCACCCTGTGGCTCCTCATCTTTAAATTCCGTTCATGAATGTTAAATTATTGTGTGTAGAGGCTTTTTATTTTTATTTTTTTGAGATGAGAGCATACTGCAATATCAGGGAAAACATGCTGTGGCTATAGCAATAGCAAGAGTACTACTTTTGTCTATGGTGGTTGGGTTTTTAAAAGTTGCCATATATTGCATTTCATTTGATCCATAAGGTTCTCAGTTTAGTAGCAAAAGAAACTAAGATTTAGAGAGAATTTTGTTCATTCAGTGGTGGAGCTGGGACTCAAAGCAAGGTTCTCTGGGTTTCATTTGAGGGCTGGCTCCCTAGCTTGCACAACAGCAGTGTGCTGGGCATATGGTTTTCATGCTTTTGGATCATCAGAATGACATGAATCTTCAGGATGCCAGGTTAGTCACTAACTCTTCAGAAAAGAGAAATTTCTCTCCAGTGCTTTGTTGCACACAGATACTCCTGTTAAGTCAGGAGAGACTTCCAAGTAGCAGGATTTGGTTACCAAATCTTTTGACTTTTGTGAGAATATATGTGCCGGAAGTAGGACTGGTGAGAGCCATGAAGGGGGCCAGTAAGTGTGAGTTAGTAAGAAGGGCGTTGGGTTCCTGAATCCATTATTACTTTTAATGCAAAGCTGTTTGCTTAATAAAAAAGTAGAGAAAGAGGTTAGATGTATCTGTGGGCTAACTTTTTAAAAAGCCAAACACGTGATAATTATTTGTTATTTAAAATGTTTGATACATTATGTTTCACTCTAATAATGTTCAAAGGGATTGTTACTAAATCTACATTATAAATATGTCATAAACATGAGTTGAAACAGATCCCAGCATGAAGGTATTAAGTAACTAATCCTCCTTTCTCCCTTCTTCCTTTTCCCCCTTCTTCTTTACCTTTTTTAAATTTTTTAAGAAAGTATTTTATTGATTTCATTAAATGGCATTTTCAGGCATTTAAAATGTGAATATTTCTCTTCGGCATCTATCTATACATCATAAAATCTCATTCAGAGTTCTCACAGCTCAAATAGATTCCCTCCCACTCTTTGCTATGGAGTTTTGTTTTGTTTTCCCTTTCTCCATATTGACTGTCTCAAGTTAACTTCTTTTTGGTTTTAGACATAGAGTAGATGCTCTCCTTGTTCTAAGTTTTAAGTGATTATTGAAACCAGCAAATACTCTAACTAGCAAATACTCTAATATAGTTTCTGGAGAATATTAAGAGTATTTAATTATATGTATTTAGGTGTTTTCAAAGGAGAGTATCTATCTTTTTTCTGAACTCCAATGTAGTTTATCTGTCCCCTCCTTTAATGGTCTTCTATGTGCATGTCTTTATCTTCCCATTAGATTTCAAACCTCCAGTGTCTAGTGCTGGATGATGCCCACAGCATCTCCCTAGCACTTCTTAGTTTCTCAGTGAATTTTTTTGATGAATAAATAACATTATTTATTTCAGATGGCATTTTTTGGAGCAATACAAGTCCGTAATTTCACTATTATTTATTTTAGTTGCACACAGTGACTTTCCAAATGAAACAGCCCTTGGAATCAAGGAGTAAAGCTTTAATTTAATTAAGAAGCTGTTCAGTATTATTTCCTCTGTTAGAATTTACACTAGAACTTGCAAAATAAATTGTTTGTAGTATGGGGAAATTTTTTAAATTTTATCTCTGCAAGTCTCTATTCTAAAAGATCATTAGAGCTAAAGGCTTGGTTTCTGTGGCATTCTCACTGGACTTTACCGTTTGTATAAGCTGTTTTCTTTGAAATCTCATTGTGTTGAAGCTCTTTCTACCAAGTTTTCTACAAAACTCATAGTATGACCCATGCCAATATCACCCACTGAATTGTTGAGTAATATATCCTGACTTGAGGTCAGTGGTTCTCAAACCGTGGTGAGCATCAGAATCCCCTGGAGCTTAAGAGTACAGATACTGCACACCTTCCCCTGGGCATTCTGAATCTGTAGGTTTAGGATGAATCCTGGGCATCTGTGGTTATGACACTTTCTGGTGGTCCTGGAACCATTTTTGAGAAACATTGCCATTGAGTCAAATTTATTCCTGATTTTTAAAATAATGAATCTTCCAAAGTTGTAAGGCATTCTAAATGCATTTAAAAGCTGTGTCATAGGTATGTTAATGAATTTGACATTGCACAATCAGTATGATTTATGTGACATTGCAGATGTAATTATAAAATATTTTCTTAGCTGCAGTTTTATTGGTCTAGTGTATATTAACATGCATTTAAAATACAATCTTTATTTGTTTAAAAAACTCCCTTTTTAAATAAACTCCCACTTATCAGGAATGAGAACAAACAAAACTCAAACTTCAGTGTTTTCTCTGCTGTTAATTTCTACATATGCAATATTTAACTCTACTTATCCTACATTTTTTAAAAAAGATTTTATTTATTTATTTGACAGAGAGAGACAGCGAGAGAGAGAACACAAGCAGGGGGAGTGGGAGAGGGAGAAGCAGGCTCCCTGCTGGGAGCCTGATGCGGAGCTCGATCCCAGGACTCTGGGATCATGACCTGAGCCGAAGGCAGACACTTAATGACTGAGCCACCCAGGGGTCCCAATACACATGGATTAATATTCAATATAAGGGGCCTTCCCTTTACCCCCCTTTCTTTAACTTTGCAAATGCTTCTTTTATAAGATGAGTCTAACATTCTTTAGACATGTGTTGCACTGAAAGGTTGGGAATTAGGAGAATTACAGTGGAACTTGACTTGCAAATTTGTAGGTAATCAGAATTACATAAAATGCTTTAATCTATTCTTTCTTTCTTTTTCTTTTTTTTTTTAGGGACTTTCTCCCTCGAGGGTCGGGCATCGTAACCAGACGGCCTCTTGTGCTGCAGCTTGTTACTTCCAAAGCAGGTAATAAATGAGGATGTTTGCCACATGAGCAAAGCACTTTTTTTTAAGTGACAATTCAACATCCATCTAATGTCTATATGCACATATACAGTGTATGTGTACCTGTATCTACATCTAATGTGTCATGCTTGCCCCTATCCTTAACACCATGATGATTTGATCGGCAAATGAGCTTTGTTTTCATTCTTATTTCTTAGCACCTGGTGATGTTAGGTTTTTTGGTGTGCTTATTTGGTGTTTATATTGTTTTTATGAATTGGCTATTTTTATCTTTCCCTATTTCTTTTTGTGGATTTTACTATTTTTCTTATTAATTTCTTTGAAAGTACTTATAAAAACTGCACCTCATAAATTGCAAAAACCAAAGTCATGGAATTTTACCCCTATGTTTTCTTCTAAGTATTTTATAATTTTGCTCTTATGTTTAGGTCTTTGATTCATTTTGAGTTAATTTTTGTGTATGGTGTGAGGAAAGGGTCCAACTTCATTTTTTGCATGTGAATATCCAGTTTGTTCCAGCACCATTTGTATGGTTTTGGTACCCTTGTCGAAAATCAGTTTGACATAAATATATGTGTTTGAGACTCTCAATTCTTTTTTTTTTTTTTTAAGATTTTATTTATTTATTTGAGAGAGAGAGAATGAGAGACAGAGAGCATGAGAGGGAGGAGGGTCAGAGGGAGAAGCAGACTCCCTGCCGAGCAGGGAGCCCGATGCGGGACTCGATCCCGGGACTCCAGGATCATGACCTGAGCCGAAGGCAGTCGCTTAACCAACTGAGCCACCCAGGCGCCCGAGACTCAATTCTTTTCAACTAACCTATATTTCTGTATTTGTGCCAGTATTGCGTAGTCTTAATTATTCTTACTTTGTAGTAAGTTTTGAAATTAGGAAGTGTGAGAACCATTTTGTGTTTTTCAAGATTATTTTGGCTATCCTGAGTCTCTTGAAATTCTGTATGAATCTTAGAATCAGCTTATTTTATCCCAGCAATGCAAGGTTGGTTTAACACCTAAAAATGAATTAATGTATTGTATCATATCACTATAATTAAAAACAAGAAATCACAGGATCATCTCAACAGACTCAGAAAAAGCATTTGAAAAAATACAACATTCCATCATTTTTAAAAAGATTTATTTATTTTAGAGAGAGAAGAGCACAAGCAGGGGGAGAGGCAGAGGGAGAGGGAGAAGCAGACTCCCTGCTGAGCTGGGAGCCTGATGTGGGGCCCCATCCCAGGACCTGGAGATCATGACCTGAGCCCAAGGCAGATGCTTAACCATCTGAGCCACCCAGGCATCCCAGACAATATTCCATCATTATAAAAACACTCAACAAAATAGGAATAGAAGGGAACTTCCTTAACCTGATAAAGGGCATGGACTAAAACCCATGGCTAACGAAACATCATACTTAATGGTGAAAGACTGCATACTTTCCTTTTAAGAGCAGGAACGAGACAAAGATGTCTACTTTTGCCTCTTCAGTTCAACATTGTGCTGGAGGTTCTAGGTAGGGCAGTTGGGCAAGAGAAAGAAATAAAAGGCATCCATACTGGAAAGGAAGGAGTAAAATAATCTCTGTTTGCAGATGATATGATAAAGTATATAGAAATTCCTAAGGAATCCACCAAAAAACTATTGCAACTAATAAATGAGTTCAGCAAGGTTGCAGGATCAATATACAGAAATCAGTTGTATTTCTATAAACTTGCTGTGCACAATCAAAAAATGAAATTAAAAAAATAATTTCATTTATAATAGCATCAAACATAACATACTACTTAGGACTAAATTTAATAGAAGAAGTGTGAAACTTGTACTCTCAAAATTATGAAACATTGTTGGAAGAAATTAAATTATATCTAAATAATTGGACAAACATCCTATGATTTATATTCTGTTTATAAAAGTTTTGATATATTGAAGTTTTACCCTTTATGGTTGTAAAATCTATCTATCTATCTATCTATCTATCTATCTATCTATCTATCATCTATCTATCTATCTATCTATCTATCTATCTATCTATCTATCTATCTATGTATCTTTAACCAAAAGTAAATACTTAGCACAATTTTCTTCCTTTTCATACTTAAAATTTTTTTAACATTTATTTCCTTATTTGTCTGAAATTTATTTTCATGTATGTGAACTATTTTTATTTCCCAATCTCCTTTATCTTCTATTACATTCCTACTGCAGTCTATTTCTGAATATCTTTTCTGTTTTATTGTGCCAGTAACACAGTGTTTTACTTTTAAAGATTTATTTATTTATTTGAGGTGGGGGGTGGAGGGGTAGATGGAGAAGAGAGTCTTAAGCAGATTCCATGCTGAGTGCAGAGCCCGACGTAGGGCTTGATCTCACAACCCAGAGATCATGATCTGAGCTGAAACCGAGTCAGATGCTTAACCGACCGTGCCACCAGGCACCCCCACAGTGTTTTACTTTTGTGGGTTTATAATTTGCTTTAATATCCATCTGTCGTGTCTATAGTCCCTCTGCCTTTGCTTATTTTTATTTAGGGGTTCTCTTCTATTTGTGTGGCAAAGTTTAGGATAATTTTGTAAAGACAAAGCTATTGCCCCTAAAATTATATTAAACCTATAGATTCATAGAGAATAATTGATATCTTTAAATATTCATTATTTTTTCCAATCCAGGGATCATGCTATATCCTTTCATTTGCTCATGTATTCTCTGTATTCCTTAGTAAAATGCTTGATGATCTTTATATATCATTCGTGTGTTTCTAGTTAAGGTATTCATATTTATTTTTTTGTTGTTCTTGTGGTTTGAATAGGGTTTTTTTTCCGTTACATTTTCTAATTTCTCATTGCAGATCTGTGTTAATGCTGCTATTTTTACTTTTATTTTTTAAATTAACCATCTTCCTCTACATTTGACATTAAAATATTTTTAATTGACTCTCTGGGATATTTTAGTTATTATATAATGATTTCATCAGCATTTCTTAATTTTTTTCAATAAATACTTATCCTGAAAATACTGAGATGGCTGAGAAACAAATTGCACTGGAGTTTTGGGTGAGTACTGACATGCGAAAAACTCTGTTACATGTTGAGCTTTATTGAGAAGGTACATTATATGCCTTTTTATTTATTTATTTATTTATTTATTTATTTATTTGCTAGAGAGACACAGCGAGAGAGGGAACACAAGCAGGGGGAGTGGTAGAGGGAGAAGTAGGCTTCCTGCTGAGCAGAGAGCCTGACCTGGGGCTCGGTCCCAGGACCCTGGGATCATGAGCTGAGCCAAAGGCAGATGCTTAACAACTGAGCCACTCAGGCGCCCCTTTGCTCCTAGTTCTGGTGAAAATGCCTCCTGTGTTAAATTATGCATATGTTATTTATTATTTGTTTTTCCTGGTAAGGAACTTTTTATTCCTAATTTTAAAAATATTTTGAAACCTAATAAGTAGAGGGGTGCCTTAAGCGTCTGCCTTCGGCTCAGCTCATGATCCCAGGGTCCTGGGATCAAGCCCTGTAGCCTGGCTCCCTGCTCAGCAGGGAGTCTGCTTCTCCCCCTCCTTTCTGCTCTTCTCTCTCTCTCTCTCAACTAACTAAATAAAATATAAAAAAACCATAATAAGTAGATATATAATTTTAATAAATGACATTTTGGCATTTATTGAGGTGATGATTTAAAAAACTTTTTGATAGGTTCACCTTTATGTTTATAGATTTCTTATTTAAGCATCCTTGCATTCCTAAAGTATAGTTGATTTTAGTAACTTATTCTTTTACTGTACTATTAAAGTAATTCCACTAATTTATCTAGGTTATTTACATTTCTTTATATATATATCATTGTCAAGTTATTGAATGAAATCTGTACTGGTCAGCATAAAATAAATTGAGTAACTCTCTTTCTGTCTCTTTTGACTTTCTTTTACTACCTTTTGAAATTCTTAAAAACCCAGTGATGCATTTTAGATTTTGTTTCCAATTAAGGATGGCTGCTAGCCTGGCTTTTTACAAAGGGTTATGTCTTAGATTCAGGTGTTCAGAGACAGCAGCTGTGGGCAGTAAGAGCCTGGAAGAGGTAGATTTGAGGCTGTGGTTGCACTGGGTCCAGAGACATGGGATGTCAGAGCATATAGGGAATATTTAAAACCATGTGGATACTTCCTGTTCTTTTTGTTTGTTTGTTTGTTTTTGAGAGAGTGAGTGAGCAAGCATGGGGTGAGAGGTGAGAGGGTGGGGTGCAGTGGGGGAAGGGCAGAGGGAGAGGGAGAGGGAGAGAATCTTAAGCAGGCTCCACGCCAGTGTGGAGCCCGACGTGGGACTTGATCTCACAGCCCTGAGATTATGACCTGAGCCAAAATCAAAAGTTGGACACTTAACCTACAGACACCCAGGTGCCCCGATACTTCCTGTTCTAATGTAGAGATTTTCCTGTTACAGTTATAAGAAACTCTTATAAAAGTATTGCTAAGCCCAGGACAGTTACTATTTAGAAAACTATGATACTGAGTGGTTGCCCTATTTTTGAGCATTAGGTATGTATCAGCACTATGCAAGAACCTTCTGAGATAGATGTTACGATTCCCATTTTAGAAAAAGAGCCCCAGCAAGGTTTAAGCAATTTGTCAGAGGCCACACTGTTGGTAGGAGTAGGGGTTGTTACTAGTATCTTTCTGACACTGATAATATTGAATTTTAAAAATAGGAAACTCTGCTTGCTTTATTTATTTATTTAAAAAAAATTTTATTACGCAAACTCTACACCCAATGTGGGGCTCGAACTCACAGCTGTGAAATCAAGAGTCACATGATCTACCAACTGAGCTAGGTAGGTGCCCCTTGAACTGCTTGCTTTATATTTTCAGGATATACTTTATATTTTTAGGATACACTTTATATTTTTATTGAGTTATGTTTTATGTAAGGGAGCATCAATATGTGAGTAGTAAATATAGAAATTATTTGGCTAATTCATAATTATCATTTACTTTTCAACATAATGCTCGTT